GGGGGGGGGGGGGGGGAGAGGTACCACGACGCAACGAGCAAGAAATGAAGAATCAACCAAGAAACCCACACACACGAAACGCTGTGTGCACGACCTTGGTGTGCACTATCTCTGCAAGGTAATCTCTGGATCTGGGCGTCTGCAAACCAAGCTCAAGTGAGACAGAGGGAGAGAGAGAGAGAGATAGGGAGGGACGTTGCCTACGGTGCGTTTGTTTTTGGCGGGAGATCCGGTAGCCAAAAATCTCAGCGCGGGGTAGAGAAAGCGAAAAATGCGATAAGCCGCGGAGACTTTGCCCATTCGCACGGACTGATTTGTGTAGCGGATGCTATCGAGGTCAAGGACCGTCGCCGGTAGCCTTATGGCGTTGCTGGCCCCGGTGCGATTTCGTGGGAGGATCCGCCCTCGCCACGCGATCTTCTTGGCCTTTGCGCGCGTACCTTACCTGCTGCCTCTCCCTGTCTGGTCTGTATACGCCCGCGCAGCGGAGACACACCGGCAGCATAAACAAATAATGGATGGATGGACGATTGGATTCCAAGCAAATCGCTTCCGCTTGCTGCGTGTGTGATGTTGCCGCACCCCCAGTAGCAGTTAGCCCTGGATCCTCAGCTGGGCGAGCGATCCTGCGTAGGAGTCGGGGAGATTGATCTGTTGGCCGTGTGTGTCGGCGACTGCTGGCGGCTCGCGTGCTGCTGGCTGGTCGTATCACTCCACCGAAATGTCGGACACACCTTCATGTTCTTTGCTGCTCGGTCCTGCCCTTTTTTAATCTTTTTTTTTCACCCGCTCTCTCCGTCGCTGGTTTTCTTTGAAGGCATGTCATTTATCGCCCGTTCATTTGAATCTCAACGAGACCGACCGATCAGCAAAGGGGTGTGTATGTGTGTTTTACGAGAAAAAATCTCTTGCCGCTACACAGCGGGCACCCACACATTACCCTCCGAACGCTGCTGTTCCCCCCCCATCTCTCCCTCTCTCTCTCTTGTCCTCTCCCTCTTCTTCTGCCATTGCCATCCGGTGGCATCACATCATCATCACACAGGATGGAAGGAGGCTACGGGCAGGGAATGACCATGCGGCAGGGCCAGGGGCAGGGTATGCAGGGCCAGTTGGGACAGGGGATGGGCCAAGGGATGCAGCAGGCAAGACCGCTGTTTTTTGTTATTCTCGTTGTTGTGGCAGTTGTGGCATTCATAAATGTGTTTTGTTGCCGAAAACGGGCCCTCTCCTCTCCCTTCACCGCTGGCACTTTGGGGCCTTCTCCCTCTCCTCGCGGAAAAAAGGCGAGCGGCGGCTAGATCGGACACGACCATCCCACCCAAGTAGGTTCAATTTTTTTAAGGAGAGGACGTGCAAGAGGTAGACGTTTTCCCACGCTTTTCCGAACGAGCGCAAGGCGCCTTTTCGTTTTGTTTGAAGAATTTATCCTGCAAGCGTTTTTCTCCCGCCGGAACCACACAATACATTATGAAAGCTTTCGTTAGCCCCCTGTATCTTTGGATCCCCGAACAACATCGGCGCAAGGTGCAAGCCTTTGCTACGCGGGGCGTAGGGGTGACACATGTACGAACCTGGCCGCCTTGCAGTGACTGGCTGCACGCGTTTTTCGAGTTTTTGAATTCTGGCGCTTTTTTTTGGGACTCGTTGGTGATGGCGATGACATGACATTTGGGCGGGCTGGAAGTTTGTGGGTATCGGGAGTTTTGTATGCATACCCACCAACAGAGTAGTAAGAACGTACGATACATACGCACATATAATGTCTTGAGGCTACTTACTACAAGCTACAAGAATGCTCGATTTGGCCCTGCTGCAGAGCTGGGAAAAACCCCAAATTTTTGTGTTCCATCTCCTCTTTCTCTCTTCCTCCCTCCGCGACGATTATTTCGATACACATCTGTGCGGCAACCCCCAACCGACTCTTTTTTTTTTCATAAACCGGGGCTGCGCGGGGTAGGCTCGTCGGCTTTATTTTGGCCTGTTGTTTGGTGTGCGCTCTGCCACTCCTATCTTTTCTGAAATCACTCGCGCTTACTACCATGTAGGCGGCATCCAAAACTCCCGTTCGACCTTCTTTCTTTGGACCATCCCTGGGTACTTTTTCGTTACGATGGCAAGAAGTTGCTGGGTTATGTTGGTTGGGGGGACGCCCAGCGTGTTTTTCGTCCACGCTCTTTTTTCTGTGCGCAGGTGAATGCCCAACATCAGGTCCCCGAAGAGAGATGGATGGGGATATTTGTGCACGTCGAAGTAGATATTGTTTTATCTTGATTGGTAAGACATCTGCTTTTTGTCCGCTCGCTGTAGCGAGCTCTCCTGAGACTTCATGCTTGCACCTAGTCGTGGGGCTGTTTTTTTCTGCACGTGGCATATGTCTGGCGAGAGAGAAAAAAAAAAAACACTTGCCGACAAGTAGTTGTTAACTACTATGCTGCTGTGTTGTTCCCCTCGTTGGACTTCGAACGAAGTCACTGAAAGTGCATGGCACGAAGGAGGAGGGTGGTCGGTTGTCGGATTCATTCACACCCTCCACGCGCTTGCTCAGCCGCTCATTTGTGTCAGTGCGCCCGCCCTCCTTTGTCGGCCGCCAAATCATCACTTCGGAGGGGGGCGTTGTTGCCTTTTTCGCCAACACATGGCCACACAGCACTCGATTTCGATTCCCACCGCACCCAACTTTCTCACATCACTTCTTGGGGCCTCACTCGTGGCGTCTGGTTCCGCTAGGGGGTGTGTGTGTACGCTGGACTGCTGTTGGCTCGTATGCATAGCATAATACCACACTTTTATATCCAAGGTTCATCCAGATCGTATGGTCCAGGGTGTGCACGCCCAGTTTAAGACATGGAGGTGGATACAGCTGTATCTGATACCTATTAGCGAAAACTGTAGAGAGCGTCGATCGAGCCTCACTCGAGAGTAACACTGAATCTTCTCTAGTCCTATGTATGCGTAATCACGCAATATAATAGTGCCAATGGAACTCGCTCGCTCGTTCGGAAGGATCACTGCTACAAGACCTCGAGGCCCAGGTTCCATGAAACGTCTGGCATTTAGATTGGCGTAAGAAATCGGGCCCAGCCTCCGGCTGTTGGCACTAGCGTATGCTCGTATTTCCTCCTTGTGCGTTTGTTTTGTAGCTTGGCAGTTTTACGTCGTTGCGACACCATGAGCCTTGCTCCAAAATACCAACGGCTCGTAGGAGCGGGAAGGTGCCGCTGTTGGTAGACCCACCCCAGGTTAGAAAAGCCGAGCCGGACATTTTCTCGAATGGCTGATCGGGGCCCGTCGTACTACCCAAGGCGACCGATTTTCGTCGCGGCGCCCGTGCGTTGTGCGTTTTGGATCCCCGCCCACGAAGAGCGAAAGTTAGCCTCCCTCTCCGGCGACAAAGGCGGAGCGGGCGAAGAAGCTCGTTCTTTTATTTGCATCCGTCAACTTTCGTCGTCCACTCTCTGTCTCTCTGTCTCTGTCTCTCTCTCTCTGTCTCTCTCTCTCTCTCTCTCTCTCTTTCACACACACACACACACACACTCTCTCTCTCTCCAGTCAAGTCAAGTGGTGGAGGTTCCCTCCCCCTCCCCCGAGATCCCGAGGTACCAGTCCGGGTACACTGCTGTGCAGCAAATGTGGAGTGGAGAAAAACCAAGCGGAGAACGACGGAGTCCTCTCACAACACACCACAGCAGTTCACGCGAGCGTTTGCGATGTCGTATCTACCAAGAAGCAAGCTCGTCCAGAAAGTATCGGGCCGTAGTGAGGCTGAGCCCCTGCACCCGTCCCGCTACGTTAACGTGTCCGCACCCTGGATATTCCAAGTAAAAAAGACGTGCCGTATCTGCGCCCCCCCCCCCCTCCCCCGAGGGATCTTTTCTTCTATCCGTGCGCATACCGAACGGGTGTGTTCTGCAGGGGGGGGCGAAAATTTGCTGGTTTTTTATCACCTTCGGGGGAACAGCGCGCGAATTTTGGGTACTTGACGATATCCGGCTCGGCGCAGCGGTCCTCCCTCTCGGCGAAGTTGTCGCGGGGGTGTAGCGGCGGGGGGGACTTGGTTAATTTCCTCCTTGAGAGAGCGTTGGATGGATGATGGATGAATGAATGGATGCCGTTCTGGCCATTCCCTACTGCTGCAGCTGTACATGTACAGTAGAGACAATAAGGGGTCTTACTCCTTGTCGCCGCTCCCGGCGCGGCGCGCACCTCTCTTGTGGGCGCCCCTGCAGGCTGCCGTGTACAAGACCCCGCTCGCTGCGCCCTGCTTTGTTTTTGTGCGGCACTACCGAGCACGTGCGAAGGCGTGGTGCGTCTTGAAGCCGACGTGGGGCTGGCTGCTGTGTGGGCGCCCCTGCAATCTGCCGTGCACAAGACCCCGCTCGCTGCGCCCTGCTTTGTTTTTGTGCGGCACTACCGAGCACGTGCGAAGGCGTGGTGCGTCTTGAAGCCGACGTGGGGCTGGCTGCTGTGTGGGCGCCCCTGCAATCTGCCGTGCACAAGACCCCGCTCGCTGCGCCCTGCTTTGTTTTTGTGCGGCACTACCGAGCACGTGCGAAGGCGTGGTGCGTCTTGAAGCCGACGTGGGGCTGGCTGCTGTGTGGGCGCCCCTGCAATCTGCCGTGCACAAGACCCCGCTCGCTGCGCCCTGCTTTGTTTTTGTGCGGCACTACCGAGCACGTGCGAAGGCGTGGTGCGTCTTGAAGCCGACGTGGGGCTGGCTGCTGTGTGGGCGCCCCTGCAATCTGCCGTGCACAAGACCCCGCTCGCTGCGCCCTGCTTTGTTTTTGTGCGGCACTACCGAGCACGTGCGAAGGCGTGGTGCGTCTTGAAGCCGACGTGGGGCTGGCTGCTGTGGAGTTTCCGTTAATGCTTGTTTGTTGCGTTGGGGAGAGGGGGGAAACATCATTCTGGCCACAAGTCACTCGTACCGGTTAGCGTTGACTAATAGGCTTTCCCTCCACAAGTCTTGGGGTATTGGAATTTCGGTCTTTGGGCAATCCGTGCCCCGCGAGGGACTGCGAACCACCTGACGGTAATAATAGGCCTTGGAGAAAAGTTACAGCTGTCATCGAATTGTCCGCAGAATGCTATTTTCGCGGTATCTCTGGTTGGGAAGGGTTTAGGGAACCGTTGTTTCTGGTCATCCGGGCACACGGCGCGCTAAAGTTTTTTTTTCCCGAAGCCGTGCAACGGCGGCCAGCTGAATAGTTTTCTGGCGCGAGACCGGTCTCCCGGGTGCCACGTTGGTTTCCCGCCGGGACACGTGGGTAGTTTTTTTGCGAAAGTTGCTCCGATGACAAGAACGAGGTCGATGGGCGAGCTGCAGGAGGACACCCTCGCCCACGAGCGGGTGGTTCGGAGCCGTTCCTGATGCACAAACGGCGGTCTCAATGTCATCGGAGGGGAGACATCCCCCCCCCTCCTCCCTTGAAGCCGGTGTCACCTGCTAACGACACACGCAAACTCTGAGCCTTGTGTGAGGAAGCCTTTTTTTGGTGTGCCGCACGGTCGGGCAAGGTAGTGCGAGCTGTGCCGCTCAAATATTTTCCCCTCCGGCTGCCCTTGCGGACGACCCGAGACGCCCGCGCCTGTTGCGCGTCGTTGCGCCACCCCCGGAGAGCATTCCTTCCGCAAAGTTCCACCAATGCTGTCGAGGAGCAGTGCTAGACTCCGCGGGACGTGTGGGTCACTATCGCACGCCAGCCGGACCGACTTTGGCAGCTCGATTCTTCCAGTGAGGAACAGCTCCCCGATGCCGCGAGAAGGGAGGGTGGTTTTAGGAGATGTGTGTGGCTACAGCTCTCCTCTTGCACGTGTGGGTCGATGTTTGCGAACGGGCAACCCTCCTGGGTATGTTACATACGTCCGTATATGTGCAGAGCCAACAAGGTTTTGAACTCGGTCGAAGGGGCGTGCGATTGCCCTTGCTTCTTTCGGTGCGGTTCTTCGCCGTGAGGATGTGGTGCCGCGATTGAAGCAAGTAGCTTCGCATGAAGAGGATTAGATAATGTAGACCAGACCAAACAGAACATTCACGTTTGGTAGGGGGCGTGTTTGTCCGTTCGAGAGAAACACTCCAGGGTGGACACAACCACGACGCGGTAGATGATGCCATGGGGAGGCGGGCGAAAAGGGTGTGGGAAGCGCGCGTGTTGCTACTTGAGGAGGAGTAGCTTGATGTCGTGTGACGCATGTGCTTTCGGTGTCGTTTCTATGCATCCACATCCAAACCAGCCTCGTGTGAGTCTTTTTTTTTGCGAATTCGATTTCAGTTGCCTACCGTGGCTGTACCCGCCGGCCAACTTGTCTCGGTGGCCTCCTCGTAAACGACGGCACCGCTAGCTAGCTACGTAACAGGAGGACTTGTAGAACAACAGACTCAAGCTTGAGTTCACTCAGATGTTGCATTCCGAAACCGCATTGTATGGCATTGCTGCCGCTTTTCTGGAGCGGGAAAAAAGAGGGGGTTGCAGGTTGCCAGCAGGGTTGGCGCACTTGAATCACATCAGCAGGTCAGCAAGCGGCTGTGGTGCTGGAGAACCCTGGGATCTAGCACACAGAAGGCTTGTTGGGTTGCACGCCAGCTTCGTACTTGCGCGCCAAGATCGAAGTCCCTTGCAGTACTTGAAGTATAGACAAGTCGCGCCTGCCGGACGTGAAGCGTTAAGTTAGCCGGGATACCCAATCAACCCGTGGCACATCTGGTTTGGCACAGCAAACGCCAGGATGATGACCAGCTTCTGGTTCGTCCTTGTAAAACGTAGCCCGGGCCGGCCCGTGGCACATCTGGTTTGGCACAGCAAACGCCAGGATGATGACCAGCTTCTGGTTCGTCCTTGTAAAACGTAGCCCGGGCCGGCCCGTGGCACATCTGGTTTGGCACAGCAAACGCCAGGATGATGACCAGCTTCTGGTTCATCCTTGTAAAACGTAGCCCAGGCCGGCCCGTGGCACATCGCTCCGTCCCGGCATTGTAGGGGTGCGAGGTCAATGGTCTAACTTCACGAGCACATCCCTCCCCTCCGAACCACGAAGCGGCCGGGTTGCTGATCTCGAGGCATTTATTTTCTAAACTCTGGTGTGTCCCGGTTGGGGCGGCTTGACTCCCGAACGAGCACCTACTTTTGACGCGAAGGTGCCGTTGTCGTTCCTGGTGATTGGCGTGGGACAGCCAACAAGCAGGGTCTCTTTTGTCTTACCTGTCGTAGCGTGGTGGGACCCGGTATTTTGTCAACGAAGCCACCAAACAGAAACAGAAACATGAGCGCTGCATACATACGCAACAATACACACGAAGTCCACTCCAAGAAAAATGGCCTTCGTAAAACAGCGTACCTGCAACAACATCGTCTTTGGCCTTTTTGTTCGGTGGCCTGAACTTGTGAATGAGCAGGGAGGCTACGGCGTCGCCGCGAACGGGCAGGGGATCGGCGTTAACCACATGGGAGGAGTTCAAGGGGTGGGTGGCGTGAACGGGCAGGTGAGAGGCGCGAAATGCAATATTAGGCGCTTCGGAAGGCTGGCTTCTCTCTCTCTGTCTCTCTGTCTGTCTCTCTCTCTTTCTCTCTTCTCTGTCTGTCGGTCAGTCTGTCTCTTTCTCTTTTTCTATCTCTGTCTCTCTCTCTCTCTCTCTGTCTCTCTGTCTGTCGGTCAGTCTGTCTCTTTCTCTTTTCTATCTCTGTCTCTCTCTCTCTCTCTCTCTCTCTGTCTCTCTGTCTGTCTCTGTCTGTCTGTCTGTCCGTCTGTCTGTTTCTCTCTCTCTCTCTCTCTCTCCCTCTCCCTCTCTCTCTCCCTGTCGTTTTTTTTTTGTGATTTCGGGTGTTGAAAACCGTGAGGTAGAGTGACACCTGTTTTTTCGTTCAAGAGGCCAATTCATGCGTTAGAGAAGCCTGTGTTTTGGGGGTTAGCCTTTGCCAACGGCTGTGTGTCGCGATGCGCTGGGACGGAGCGCTTTTCACAATGCCGCACGGCTTGGCTCGCGAGGTGAAGAAGAGCGAATGACGTGTTCTGCTGTATTTTTCACGTGGTCCGTCATACAATCTCACGTTGAACCGAGCTAGTTTTCCTGCGATAGTATTGGTGTTGCACGGTGCGGTTTGGTTTCCCACGGTATGTGCGGTACGGCACGACTCGTGAGGGCCCCCACGTTTGCGAGGCAGTCGCAACCGTCAATGGCAAGGTCTTTGGCACAGCAGTAGACCTCAGTCAAGTAGCCAAACGTGGCCGGACGGAACTCAAATGCAGCCCGGGAAGGCATGTATCGCGATTCGGCGAAATTGGCCGAGTTGCAAGGCGGCCAATAAGAAGAATCACGGACTGTTGCTTCCTTGGAGCCCCTTTCTCATATTTTTTTGTCTGTTTCTTGTCTTTTCCTTTATTTTTGTTCATGCTGTGTGGACCCTTCGCACACGTCCAACCCGTCACAAGGTACCGCAGCAAATGGCCCCCCAGCAAGGGATCATGAGTCAGGGAATGGGTCAAGGGATGGGGCAGGGCATGGGTCAAGGCATGGGGCAGGGCATGGGGCAGGGCATGGGAGGGGTGGGGGTCGGGGTGGGGCATGGGAACGTCCAGGGCGCGGGCATGATGGGAGGTGGTGCTATGTCCACAATGAGCATGGGAGACTGTGAGTAGTCGGGTACATAATTTGGTGATGCATTGCTGACACTTTCACACACATGCTTGCAGCAGGTCTACCACTCGGTTAGACCTTCTCTTTCTTGGCTCACCAGGGTGGCGTTTTGCCGTCGTGTCCTTGGTCAGCAGGTTGCCGCGTTCTGCTTTGCGTTGATCCATGGCCCACACGTACACACAGAGATCGCGACCTTTAGAATCTTGTTATGCTTGCAGCCGCACTACTGTAAGACTGATGTCTCCTCATTGGTAGGGAGGCCGATTTGCGCGGTCGATGCTATGCAGAGGGAAGACAGACAGAGGCGTATTCGCGATTGTACGTGTAACCCGCTGAAGGCTGACGACCTTTCGCTGGTCTGGTGATCAGCGCGTTCCACGTCCATTTGTGAAGCACACACACACACACACACACACACACACACACGAAATATTGCCGTGTACGTCATCTGCGATTTTTGTTCGTAGTTCGACCGTCGGTCATGCTGTCGTCTTTAGCACACGCAGACACAGCAGGTCTTGCAGAAACCTTCCTGAGGGCGGTTTCCGTAGGTGGCATGACGTGAGTCATCACACCCCCTCGGAGTGATTTTCAACGCCCGATTACTCGACAGCGGATAGAATGGCAGTTGCGGAAATGCCGGCGTGGAAGCGTCGTCTCGTCAAGAGCTTTTCGACAATGTATCGCCGCTTGATTGCTGTACAAGTATCCTCTTGGTGGTGGTCGTGGAGTAGTCGAGCCGGGAAGATCGTGTCATACCTTGTGTCACCTACGGTATGGTTCTGAGGAAGATAATTGGTTGTTCGAGGTTTCGGTTGTTGGACGGGAGGTTGGCTTTATATTTGGGAAACTCTTGTCTGAACCGTTGGGGGGGGGTGAACCTCGCCAGGGGGGCATGCTGACTGCCGTGCTGTGGAGATAGGCCGGGGTTGTTCCTACCACTCCACACCCTACTCTCTTTAACGAGGTACATTAACAAGGTACACTAGTTATGCTCTCAACAGCCCTATCCCTAACCCTAATCCTAACCCTCCATGATATGCTGGTAAGATCCGGCACGGTTCAGACGTGCAACCTGCAGAGGATAGGGAGCCAATACGTGTGCGCGTTCGCTTCTTCTACAAGAGCCGCTGTTGCGAAAGATTGTACCTTGTTCGTGTTGGAGGAGGTTTGTTGCGCACCCGTGTAAGGTTCGCCTACAACAGGTCCACACGCAAGATTCAAAGATTGGCTGTGGGTCCTTCCGTATTTCGATTTGTATGTTGGTCGGCGCTTGTGCACCTACCCTTCGGCCGATTGGCTCATTTTCATTTCACAGACCCGTATTTATGGACGGACATCAGTGTGAAATCGGAGTCAAGGGTTCGTTTTTCTAAGCAAGAAGCCTTCTTTCCGTGGACGGCTTCTGAGAACGCCACCATAATCTTCTTGAGTCAATCACTCAGATCTCCTGAAAATGAACATGTTTTTTTGTTTTAAGCTTTGCTTCCTATGTTCCCCCCCTGGGTCTCAGAAATGTGCAGAAATATGTAATTTTGTCACCAGGCACAGACGAGGCGTCGATACCACATCAACTCGAGCCAAGGATCGATGGCCTGATCATATTTTTTCCTTCCACCAGAGAGAGAATGTTACTGTTGGCCTGTAGCGCTCTGACAGCGCATGCACTGCAGCATATGTTTCACGGCTTGGAATCCCGGTTTTGGTTTGTCAGGCGTGGGAGAGCAACCAACGCCACGAGAGCGATAGATGCACCATCGGGGGAATCACGGTGATGCTCTTGTGCCGTTAGGTCGTCTACGGCAGGTACGCCGGCAAAGAGACGGCCGTACCACACACGAACGAACGTCAACACTTTCAGCGTCAGCAGTCGTCTTTATTCATTCACCTCGTGACAGAGAGTAACAGCACAGCGCCGTGTGGGCCCCCGCCGCCTCACCGGAGGCTCTCTCGTGCCCGTCTGTGTGTGTGGGGGGGGGGGGGGGGGGG